CAAACAATAAGTTACTGCGATGCGGCTGTGTAGGCTGTGTGGTGCAAGCTGATTGGGTGGCGTCATCTTTGTGGTGCAGTATACACGGTGCAAGCTAGAGGCGGCAACGAGGGGTTAACGGGCAGAACCCTTAAGTGCAGGCGCTGTTCGAGGAATCAATGACTCCTCCCAGTCACGCCCGCGAGCGTATCAGAAGGGCGGGCTGGGCGCTTCGCCCGAGTTTTCCTCATCATGTCTTATCACGAGGCTTGAAATCTGCTACGGCTTCCAAGATGGAGTGCAAGTTGGTTTCAAACTGCCACTCTCGCCTGGACGCCGCGGACACTCGTCTTGAAAGTTTACCGCAGCTTCAAGGATGCAGCACATTTCGTGTTCTAAATGCGATTCTCGCCTCAGCGTCGCACGCACCCGTCTTGAACCTGTGCAGCAACTCCAAAGATGGAGAGCGGCTCCTTTCACCAAGGCTCTCGCCTTGGAGCCGCGCGCTCTCGCCTTCGACACCTGCCTCACTCTGAGCAGCGGAGCCGCGATCGTCTTCACAGGTGGCTCCCGCCGGCGCGCCGCGCGAACTCGCTTATGGACTGCAATACCGCATTTCAATGTTGGCCACCAAACACGCCGAAGGGGAGTGCGAAGCGTTGCGAAATAAACGCCCACTTATGTTGGACTGCCCAGCCCTCCCCGTCAACCTTGAAATACGGGGGAAAGGGGGCGTGCTTCGTCGTCTTGCTTTCGATCCCTAAGATGGGCGTTTATTTCGCAAACGGCGGTAGCTTCAAGGGTCGAGGCCGGTTCCGTTCCGACGTGGGGCGCTCGCCTCGGCGCCTCGCGCACACAATCGGTCCCGCATCCGCCGACGACGGTTATACGCAAAGGATGGGTTCCACAGGGGGGCTCTCGCTTCCGCGCCGCGCACGGCCCTCTCTGATTGCCACACAGCTCGAAGCACGGAGGATGGCTGTTTTTTGTTCCTAACTGCGGCTGTCGATCGACCGTGACTTCATCCTGGCCCGCAGCTCCAACGCGTGCAGCAGCTCTGCACGCGCCCAGGGCGCGCTTCTTCACCAGGGAGCTCCCACGTCCGACGTCCTGGAAACGCGTGGCCACCAGTGTGAGCGGGTGCAGCATATGTAACCACACGGCCAGGGGCCCTCCTTCTTCGACCGCGGGATCTCGCCGGGCACCTCGTGGAATGGTATGGTCATAGCGCCTCGCATTTTGGCGGCGCGCAGAAGGGGGTGGGGAGGGGAAGGCTCCTAGAAGCAACATGCTTCTTAGAAGCACCGGCCTTACGTCTACAGAGAAGGCCCGCGCCTTCTAAGAAGCAGGGGCGCTTCTAAGAAGCCTTCCCCCCTCCCCCTACCCCCCTCTGCGCGCCGCCAAGCATTCCCGATCATGCGCCAGCGGAGGATCCAAGGCACCTCCTTCTCACATCGGGGCCCTCGCCAACATGGAAGGCCCAGCTTTTGCGGTCCTTTCACGGAGCGGGGCTTCTCGTCTAGTCTTGTCGGCACGCACGAGGAGGGGACTTATAAGGCTGGAGGGCGTGTTGCGGCATCGCTGGCGAATCTTGGGATTAGTGTGGTCCTCTTGCTGACATTTCTTCGCCGTCCGGATTCAGGGTGGGCGGTCGAAGCTCCACGAGGATTATGGCGAGACGGAGCGGGATGGAGAGGAAGCGATGGCAGCGCAGCAGCGGCGGCGGCACCATCCGTTGATAAGCTACACACAGCCCTGCTTGGAACACCTTGCTTTGCCTTTTAACATCGCGCGTGGACGCTCTTCCTCGTCCTCCTCCTCCTCCTCCTCCTCCTCCTCCTCGATCTCCACCCCTTCCAGCTATTGCGGCCTCTCCGCCTCCCCAGCCGCCCTCCGCCGATAGCCAGGGCGCCCGCGCTCCCATGCCAGGAGGAACCTACATCGTTCCGTCTTCGGCTGCGTCTGGTGTCGGTATTCAACCCTCCCAGCCTGCTACTATATACGTAGTTACAGTCCAACCTCTCCTCCTCTCTCTTCCCTATTTCACTCCTCCTTCTCTGGCGCCTCCTCCTCCTCCCTCCTCATCCTCCTCCTCCCCTTCTCTCCTCCTCCTCCTCAGTGCTTCCTCCCCGCTGACGCCCACGCACCCCCCGCATGCGAGGCTGCGCGCGCGCGCGAGCGAGAGGCCCGCCCCGAGCGAGCACCCTCTCCTCGAGCACCCTCAGCCCACGGGGCACATATCCCTTGCGTCAGCCTTTTGCAGACACGCTTGCTGGCGAAGCCTCTCTGCCCTTCCGTCTTTAAGTCCAGCGTGGAATCGGCCAGTTGCTCGCGCAGCTGCCCGCGGTTTTCGCCCGATGCGGCGCGGCCCTTGCCCCGGCCGCTGCCGAGAGCGCCCAAACTGCTCGCCCTCGCTCGCACGGCAATGCCCCGTGCACTCTTCGCTTTCGCCCGTGCAAATCTTTCCACAGGACGATCCGAGATGCTCCTCGAGGGTCCTCGCCGAGAAAACATATACATCGGCGGTGGACAAACCTCCCAGTATGCCTCCTCTTAGTGAAAACGGCCTGGGACCGAAACCGACGGACCTGGACCCAGAAAAACGACGGCCGCGACGCCCTTTCGCGAACCGAAAACGGCCAACTCCTTAATCGACGTGTCAGGGTAGGAGGTCTATCCACCTCCGAAGAAAGAGAGATAGAGAGAGAGAGAGCGACCAGCACGACATGGCATCGGTCTGAGCTTGTCGCGGAACCTGCTGCCAGGTTGGCAACAAGACTGCTGAACAGGCAGAGGGGGGCGCATCTCATGATTACTCGTCCGCTGAAGCCTACAATCCAGGAGGAGGCTCGGTCCCGTGCCTCCTGAGTATGGGCACGTCTGTTGCATCTCGTTGGCCATGTCGGAGGTTGACGTTGGATGTGTAGCTCCACGGCGGGAACAGCATCACGAAGGAGACGCACGCGGTCACCAAGCGCACCGCTGCCCTGTGCTGCGAGGATGCGACCAACGGCGACGTGCGACACGGAAGACCGAATGCTCAGAACACGGCAGCATCCCAGACAGGAACCGCTGCGGAACGAGCGGACGGTGAGCTCCATCACATCAGGCATTGCCGCCGAAACCGTCGGTCGTCGCCAGGTGATTCTCTGACTCCCCAGCTCTTGGGCTGCCTGGTGCACCCCGTCGCGGTGCGGTCTCCAGCGGCACCGCCTGCAGCGAGGCTATCGGGCAAAGTCAACGCCGCCGCCCCCTGCGTAGCGCAGGTCCGCGGCTATCGCCAGGTGGTCGGACGGGTACGCGAAGGTCGGCAGGCGCTCGGGCGGCATCTCGTCCGCCCGCGGCAGCTCCATCAGCGCCGCGACCTCCAGGTCGGCGGCGGAGTGGAAGATGAAGTCCACTGTGCGCCTGATCTCGCCCTTCTTGGGGCGCAACTTCCAGGTCGTGTACGGCGCCTCTGAAGGGGCCCTGGGACACACAACTAAATACGCACAAATGACAGGATCCCCCACGTTTCCCCATACTTTCTGGGTTTTTTTGTCTTCCCCCCCAGCTCCCATATTTCCCCATATCTTCCTGGGGGGTCGACGACGAGTTGTGCCTGTGTGCCTCTTTCCCTCCTGAGCCTCCAGCGCGCCGCCGCCCAGGTCGAGCCTCTCGGCGCCCTCGCTCCGGCAGCACGCCCCGCCGTACGCGCTCCGCAGCCCGACCGGGTGCGCCAGCGCGGCGCCGTAGGCCAGCGGCGGGCCCGCCCTCCCGTCGGCCTGCGGCACGGCGTTGAGGTCCGCGCCGAGCACGAGGGGCACCGCCCCGCCTGGGCTCAAGTCGAGCCTGTCCCCCTACAGGGAGACCTTCGACGAAAAATGCAAAACAAAAAACAAAAAAAAAACAATGCCCGCAAAAGGCAAAACAACAAAAAAGTCCCCAGACTATGTTTGGACTGTTTGTTTGATTCTTTTGGGGGGTATGTTTTGTTTTTCGTCGAAAATCCCCCTGTAGGGGGACAACCTGTGTTTTCTCGACGTTTCCCGACCCCCCCCCCCACACTGGAGATCGCGGGTAAATCTGGGCCTTCGGGTGGGGTTGGGGTGGCTTGGTGCGTGGTGCCCGCCTGGGCCTCCGGCCCACCGCTCGGCGAGCTCGGCGGCCAGGTCCAGCAGGGCGCCCACCTGCGCCGCCCGCTCGCGCTCCGCCTCCGCCGTCTTGCCGGACCGCAGGTGGGCGCTGGCGACGAGGAGCCGCCGGCCGGCGTGCGCCGGGCCCTGGTCCTCCAGCACTGCCACGGCGGCGTAGTCCAGCGAGTCGTCCTGGCCCAGCAGGCGGAAGGCGTCCCGCCGCCAGAGCACCGCCGTGGCGTCCTCCGCCGGGCAGGGCCTGGGCCGGAGCACGGCCCCGTAGCCCGCCGCCCCGAGCTCCCTCGCGAAGAAGTCGCCGAAGTGGTCCAGCTCCTGCAGGCACAGCAGGTCCGGCTCTGCCTCCAGCATGACCTCCAGCAGCCTCCACGCCCGAGCCACCCACTGCAGCGCAGCTGGCGGCGTGGCCGACCACTCCTCCTCGCCCTGCTCGTCGCAGGGCGCCGGCTGCACGACCACCCGCACCGAGCCTGGCCAGGCCCGCCCCTGGGGCCCAGGCAGCGGCGTGTAATTACGCCCTCTGGCCGGGCGGGGAAGGCGCACATGCGCCGAGCCTGGACCCCGGACTGGCCTGCCCAGGACCGGTGTGGGCGTACAGTCGAGGCGTTGACCTAAGGAACCCTAAATAAGGAACGAGGCCCCTTTTTTCGTAAGTTCAACTTCGAGATCCCATCGAAAACTGAAGGGAAACCTTAGGCAAGGTGTGGAACAATTAAGGAACATCGAGCCCCTCCCCAACGAAAAGGGTTCCTTCTTCAGCGCCCCGACTGTATAGCTGGCTCCCTGCGAGCTTGCTGTCGGCGAGCAGGTTGAGCCCCAGCACGCGCACGTCCCCCGGCGCGCCGGGCGAGCAGCCCCAGCGGCGCCGCAGCAGCGGCTCGCCCGTGCCCGCGGACTCGCCGCGGGCGCGGGCGAGCGAGCCCTCCAGCAGCTCGCGGCGGCGCGGGCGGCTGGTGGGGGGCAGCTCGCCGGCGCCGGGCGCCCCCATCGGAGCCCTCCCCGCCGCGCGTGGAAGGGCGCCCCTCCGCCCCCCTCCCTCGAGGCCTCGCCGCGGAGGAAGAGGGGGCTGAGGGGGAGGAGGGGGAGGAGGAGGACTGAAAGGAGGGGGACGAGGCGAGGAGAGTGCTGCGAGGAGAAACAGGAGGAGGAGGAGGAGGAGGAGGAGGAGGAGGAGGAGGAGGAGGAGAGAAGACGGAGGAGGAGGAGGAGGAGAAGACGGAGGAGGAGGAGGAGAAGACGGAGGAGGAGGAGGAGGAGGAGGAGAAGACGGAGGAGGAGGAGGAGGAGAAGACGGAGGAGGAGGAGGAGGAGGAGAAGACGGAGGAGGAGGAGGAGGAGGAGGTGAAAGAGAAGGAGGAGCAGGAGGAGGAGGAGGAGGAGGAGGACAAGGACGAGAGCTCGAGATCCCGGTGAACAGACAAGTCCGTTTCACCGAGTCACCCGAAGAGGATGATGATGACGATGATGATGCTGATGATGATTATGATGACACTGGTAAGGCAGATGATGATGATGATGATGATGATGATGATGATGATGATGATGATGATGATGATGATGTTGATCCTGGTGATAATGATGATGATGCTGACGATGATGATGATGATGCTGATGATGATGACGATGGTGAGGATGATGATGATGATGATGATGGTGGTGGTGGTGGTGCTGCTGCTACTTATGATGATGCTACTGATGATGATGATGATGATGATGATGATGATGATGATGCTGATGTTGATGCTGGTGGTGATGTTGATGCTGGTGATACTGATGATGATGCTGACGATGATGATGATGATGATGATGATGATGATGATGATGATGATGATGATGATGATGATGGTGGTGATGCTGCTGATGATGATGATGATGTTGCTGCTGCTGATGATGGTAATAATCATAAGAATGATGCTGATGACGAACATGCTCAAAAAGGTGATGCAGCTGATTATGATGATGATGATGATGAGGATGATGATGAGGATAATGATTATTGTGACGATGATGCTGATGCTGCTCATGATAATGATGCTGCTGCTGCTGCTGATGATGATGATGATGATGATGATGATGGCGGTGGTGATGATGATGATGCTGATGATGCTAATGATGATAATGTTGATACTGATGATGACGATGATGATGCTGATGATGATGATGATGAATATTTTTTTTTCATGGGTCCGACGATCAAACTATGAGCCTGTCAAACCCTACCACCTATCGGTTTGATTGTTAACATATGTGTCTCTGCTCGTTCAGAACACATGCAGAAGTTCAGCCGCCCGCTATGATGATGATGATGATGATGATGATGATGATGATGATGATGATGATGATGATGATGATGACGAGGAGGAGGAGGAGGAGGAGGAGGAGGAGGAGGAAGGAGGAGAGGAGAAGGATAAGGAGGAGGAGGAGGAGGAGGACGAGGAGACGGGGCAGGAGGGAGTAGGAGGAGGGCGGAGGAGGAGGAGCAGGAGGGGAGGGTCTGGCGGCAGCAAGGAGGTGCAGGGAGTGGGACATGGGACATGAAAAGGCGGAGGGGGGGCGGAGGAGGAAAAGGAGAAGGAGAAGGAGGAGGATGGAGTAGGAGGAGGAGGAGGGGAGGAGGAGGAGGAGGAGGAGGAGGGGAGGAGGAGGAGGAGGAGGAAGGGAGGAGGAAGAGGACGAGGAGGACGAAGAGGAGGAGGAGGAGGAGGAGGACAATAAGAAAGAGGAGGAGGCAGTATGGTAGCGCGGGCGCCCTGGCCATCGGCGAAGGGCGGCTGGGGAGGGCCGCAAAAGCTGGAAGAGGGGGAGAGGACGAGGAAGAGCGTCTACGAGGCTGAGTGAGGAGGGAGGAGGGAGGAGGGAGGAAGGAGAAGGGCGGAGGGAGGAGGGAGGAGGAGGAGGAGAAGGATGATAAGGAGAAGAAGGAGGAGGAGGAAGAGGAGTGGGACGAAGAGGGGGAGGAGGACGATGACAAGGAGGAGGATGAGGAGGAGGAGGAGTAGGAGGAGGAGGAGGAGAAGAATAATAAATGAGGAGGACAGGGGAGAAGGAGCAGAACGATTGATTGGAGAAAGAGGAAGAGGAGGAGGAGCAGGGAGGAGGAGGAGGAGAGGAAGAAGAGGAGGAGGAAGACGAGGAGAGGAGAATGAGGATGGAGAAGGAGGATGGAGTAGGAGTAGGAAAGAGGAGGAGGTGGGAGGAGAAGGAGGAGGAGGAGGGATGATGATGAGGATGATGATGAGGAGGTGGAGGAGGATAAAGGAGGAGTAGGAGGAGGAGTAGGAGTAGAGTAGGAGTAGGAGTAGGAGTAGGAGTAGGAGTAGGAGTAGGAGTAGGAGGAGGAGGAGGAGGAGGAGGAGGAGGAGGAGGAGGAGGAGGAGGAGAGGAGGAGGAGGAGGAGGAGGGGAGAGAGGAGGAGAGGAGGAGGAGGAGAGAGGAGGAGGAGGAAGGAGGAGGAGGAGGAGGAGGAGGAGGGAGGAGAGAGGAGGAGGAGGAGGAGGACGATCAGCAGCAGCAGCAGCAGCAGCAGCAGCAGCAGCAGCAGCAGCAGTAGGAGCGACACTGGCCAGCAGGGGAGAGGCGGGCCAAACGCAACAGCAGCGAGGCGAGGGAGAATATCCAGAGTCCCACAGACCGGCCGGCTGGAGGAGGAGGAGGAGGAGGAGAAGGAGAAGGAGGAGGAGGAGGAAGAGGAGGAGTAGGATTTGCTTTGAGCACTTTGGCTCCCGCTGCATGCTTAAAGCACACTGTAATTGTCTGAGAGTAAGGTTACTCCTCTCGCTTTCGGATGGAGTCCCTTACAGATCTTGTTCCAAGCGTCAGAGTTGTATGCTGAAGCTTTCTGGCCTGGACAAGTTTTGTTGAGAGCTGCTAGGCGGGCTCCACTAGTGTATCTCTGGCACACAGTACAAACGACAACAAACGACCCGTTCGAACAATCCAGGAGGATACACTTGTGGCTTAAATCTCTAAGCCGCCGAACGTCAACCCTCAAAGATTCAGAACAGTGGCCAGGGGCAGGAGCTTTATCAGCGGCATTGCGTGACGTCCTGAGGCACCCTTGGCAACTCCAAAAACGCTGATCCCCTCCAGGCGGACCCAGCCACTCCCACTGATGGGGCGAAACAGGGGTGCGAGGGGCAGGAGCAGGCGCAGACCACACGGCACGGGAGAGGTCCGTGCGCGGCCAGAGCGGCAGCAGCGCTGCACACAGCTTGACCGCCATGAGTGCCGAATTAACGAGGGCAGTGCATTCGTTGGCTACCTCCTCCGACGGCGCCTGGTGGGAGTCTGCCCCCAACTTGGCAGCCCTGTCGGCGAAGTCGTTCCCGATCCTCCGAAACCGTTCATCATCGTCGATCTCGGGATCATCGATTGAAAGGTGAGCGGGCACTTTCACACATCCGAGCGTCCATTTTCCCCCCAGAGAACGACCCTGCGTCAACAGCCCCGAGTATGGACGCTTGGGGGAAAGTTGCTCGTGTCGGGCCATGCCGTGCATCGAAACAACAGTTTGGCAATCTGAATAAAGGATTGCTGGTGCAGACAGGAGCGCGCAAGCCATAGCATATGCCGAAACTTATCCAGCCTGTGGTGTCTGCGGGCAGCTATCCCAGACAGGCCCCCAACACCACGCCAGGAGGTTCGACTGAGGGCATTTCATAGCCAAGCCCCATCCTGCTCGATTCGAACTGCGGACTACCTGGCGAGAGCACGAGCCATCTAAAAATACGTGGCCCCACATCTGTCGTCGGCCATCGCGGGGCATCTCCATGCCTTCCGCAGCGAAGCCGTCAGGAAAAAACTGACACTGGATACCATCCTCCTCCTCAGATTTACTGTCGGACTTAGGGGGCGGGAGCGCACGCTGGGGGTGGCCAAACAAGCCAGAGGTAAGATGGAACCGCTCTTTCTCAGGAACCGCCTCGAACTTCCTCAAAACCTGCTCAAGAGCTCTGTCAGGAATCACCGCCCTCCTCTCCTCCTCCACCGCAGTACAAGCATACAGCCGATGAAAGATCGTGTCTCCAGGCTGAAGACACAGCGGGCAACGATCCTCGACTTCGTAACCTGCTGCTCGAGCGCGGGCGCAGGGCCAAATTCCTTGACAGGCACAACAACGGATCGTTCCTTTTTGGCGAGCCGTAAACTTCTTCGAACGCAGGGCGTTGGTGACGACGTCAAAACATAAAGACTCGACCCCATCAGGGCCGTACTTGCGGGACGCTTCCCTCTCCAACGATCGCCAAACCCCTTCTTTGAGAAAGACCTGAAGGAGGGAAGGAGGAGTGAGAGTGAGCGAATGCTCGACCCCCAGGTCGCTGATCATAACAAAAGGCGGGGGCATACTCCATCCCAGGCGGGCCAAGGAAAGTTCCATGGCCCCGATAGGCCCGCTCACGGTACGCCAGGTCCACGAACGCCCGAACACATCGTGCCACATGTTTCGGAGCTCCGCCCAAGAAAAACAAAAATCCGTGACCCTCGTGGCACGAGCCCAGACTTCCTTGGCCCACCGTAGGGCTGGCGCCACCGCACCCCACCAAGCGGGATCGCCTTCGATCCTACTGAGAATGGTTAAACTCCGGCCGCCGCAGGCAGGCTTCATCGTGGAGGCACACATACGTCTAACCTTGGTTAACTCTCCATCACTGACACCGTGAAGCTCCGCCCCATAATTCAAACCCGCCAGAGGTCCAGCCGAGCAAAGCTTGGTAGCCCTCGGTCCTAGAACTCCTCTTTGACGAGCCAGCCTGCCTGCACGCCTAGAGGCTCTCGCAAAGCGCGTCTTCGCTCTGCTGTTGCGCCCTCGGACTCGCCCGGCACAGCCTGCAGTGTCATCAATCCCCAAGTTGACGAACGACTCAGTG